AGGACAATGATGCCTCAGTTCCCTTCAAAGTGGGCACCTTAGGACCTCACACAGTTCTCCCAGCATCTCTTAACCTAACCCATACATGTTCGACATTCTCAGGTGTTTTGCTTGTTGCAGGCCTTCCAGAACGTTGATCACTTTCAACAGATTCTCAACCATCTTTGAAGAGTTTGTGCCACATTTTTATTTGCCCTACACACATTGCATCATCCCTGAAAGCCTTCTGAATCATCTGAATAGTTTCCATGGAGGAATGTTCAAGCTTAATGGAAAATTTGATGCACATTCGTTGCTCTACTTGCTCAGTCATTTTGAATGGAATGGCCACACAGCGCACACACTCACTCAACGGCATCTAGTGCCCCACTGATTAGCACAGAGACGTCACCGTTGTTCACACATGCACATTCCAGTTCACTCTCCTTGGCTACTGGGTTACATCGATGTCACTCAAACCATTCTCGTTATATTAATAATGGCTGGATATTTTCCGGACACCTTGTGTGTATTCCAATTTAAGACCTTGATATTTACTTAGATCTTCTTCACTGATTATAATTTTCTCCAAAAGAAGCTTGCACATTTTTTGTTAGATTTACTCCTTAGTATTTCATCTTTTTGGTTGGTATTTTAAATGGTATATTTTTCTAAATTGTTTTTTAAACAATTGTTCTACTGTAGAGAAATACAATTGAATTCTGTATGTTGACTTTTGTATCCAGCATCCATGTTAGACTAAATAATTTAATAATAAATCTGTGGATTCTTTGGGGCTTTCTAAGTAGACACCATACTATGCCTAATAGTGGCAGATTTATTTCCTTACTCCTGTTGAGCTCTTATACCTTTTAATTCTTTTTCTTGCCTTACTGCACTGGCTAGGACATCCAGTATGATGCTGAATAGAAGTAGTGATAGCAGTTGTCCTTGTCTTATTCCTAATCTTAAAGAGAATGCTTTGGACATTTATCATTATGTATGATATATCCTACAGATTTTTTGTGGGTCCTTTCTACAAGATTTAAAAAGTTCCATTTCACTCCTGGTGTCCAAGAGTTTTCCATGAATGAATATTTAATTTTGTAAAATGCACTCCCCCCTCGTTATCTTGAGATGATGACCATGTTTTCTCCTCCTCTAATCTACATGATAAATTACATTAATTGACCTTCCCAATGTTAATAAACCTTGCATTAGTGGGATAAAGCCAACTTGGTTGTAATGCATTATTTTATACATTGCTGGATTCAGTTTGCTAATATCTACTTGAGGATTTTTGCTGGTCACAAGTGGCAGAGACATCTTTTCAAGGATACAAAAGGGAGAAGAACAGATAAAAGAAAATTTTATGTAATGTTTCAAATTCTGTGGTATTTCACTGCCATCTTGTGGCAGGAGACAATATAGGCAGTACATAACTTAGAATCGTAGCCAAGGTATTTCACACTTAGAGACTATATACATCATTTAGTGAAGCTCTTCAGGGAAAGCCAGGGATAAATTCCACCTAAATGATACACCAAAAAGTACTGGAAAATCTGAGCCCTTCCCAGATGGGTTCCATCCATGGATTAGCTGCTGAGAGGCAAGCTCTTCAGATATGGGTTTCTCAATTTCAGTTAGGTCATGACTCAAACAATTCTCACTGTACAAGGTCAAGAAGATGTCAATAGGAATGCTAATCTCTACCAGAAAAATTATCTCCGACCTTTCCCAGAAACACACTGGATTCACCGTTTCATCAAGCTATGTTTTGCTGTTGTTTTTTCCTTTGGCACTAGTGGATATGGAAGTTCAGTTTTTCAGTGAAAGGCAGAAGAGTTTGTTAATGGGAAGTGTGGGTGACAGGATAAACTGGCTTAGCTGTCACACAGTCCGAAAGGGATAGTTTGGGTTGCTCAAGAATCAGAAACTTCCTTACATAGAGAGTCTTCAGGAAGAGGCTTACCATTCTGGAATTGTGTCTCTACTCGCAGGTACTGCCGGAGCAGATCCATCACCACGGCCTTCATGTGGCCTCGGATGCCACTTCGGTACCTAGGCAAGCAGAAAGTCTCCGCTAAAACACCTGATAGGCCAACGCTGTTAAATAATAAACTATTAAATAATAAACCCGAGGGCCAAATTTACTTTCTAGCCTTTCCATTGGATTGCTTTTCCTCTGAAGAAAGAGCAGCCTAGAATCAACTAACCAGATTAGTTTAAATTCCAAGTCTAGGCCAGGCACAGTGTCTCAAGCCTATAATCCTAGCACTCTGGGAGGCTGAGGCTGGAGGATCACTTGAGCTCAGGAGTTTGAGACCAGTCGGAGCAAGAGTGAGACCCCTGTCTCTACAAAAAATAGAAAAATTAGCTGGGCACGGGAGCACACATAGCTGGGCACGGGAGCACGTGCCTCTAGTCCCAGGTACTAGGGAGGCCAAGGCAGGAAAATTGCTTGAGCCCAGGTATTTGAGGTTGCAGTGAGCCATGAGATGCCATTGCACTCTAGGTGGGGCAAAAGAATGAGACTCTGTCTCAAAAAAAAAAAATAAAATTCCAAGTCTAAATGAAATCTCACTATAGACAAAACTTTTTAAATAAAGGAAAAAAGAAATGACAAAAACAAAAAACCATATATTAAAAGATACAAAATTACAGCTGGCTAGGAGGGATAAGTTCTGGTGTTCTATAGCATTGTAGGATGACTATAATTAACAATAACATATTATATAGTTTCAAATAAGTAGGATATTGAATGCTCCCAACACAAAGAAATGATAAATGTTTGAAATGGATATGCTAATTACCCTGATCTGATCACTACACATTATATGAATCAAAACATCACTATGTACCTCATGAATACGTACAACTATTATTTGTCAATTAAAAAAACAAAATAAAAGGCCAGGCACAGTAGCTCACACCTATAATCCCCGGATTTTAAGGGGCCATGGCAGGAAGATTGCTTGAGGGCAGGAGTTCAAGACCAGCCTGGGAAATACAGCAAGTCTTCTTCTCTACAAAAAATTTAAAAATTAGCCACACATGGTGGCATGAGCCTGTAGTCTTAGATACGTGGGAGGCTGGGGCAGGATCACTGGAGCCCAGGAGTTTGAGGTTGCAATGAGCTGTGATCATGCCATTGCATTTGCCTGGTGACAGAACGAGACCCTGTCTCAAAAAGAAAAAATAAAAACAAAAAAACACCAAAAAAAACCCAAAAAAACAAAAAAAACCCAAACCAAAAAACTGTATAGCCCTACCTAACAACACCCTGATTCAGTTCATACTGCTCAGTAGAAATTATTACCACACTCTTGAATGGCTAAGGGATATCTGAAAGATTTATAAGTATCTTAAAGTTAAAAATGCTCTGTGAATATCTGTTTAGTCTACTACTTGGTTCCATAAGCTAAGAAGAACAAATGTCATAATGGATCCTGTGCCAGAAGGAAAATTAGGAGCTTCATCAAAATAGCAAGGAAAAAGAAAACACCAAAATTTCTGTGCCTGAATAATTGACAGAAAGATGTAGGACATTAAGAAGTCATCAGAAATACTGAGTATGAGTGTTAGCTCATAATTCTAAGACATTTAGAAGATGCAAGGTACTTTCTAAGATACGAGGTGCTCCTAATTTCTCAAAGTCAAACCTGAAGTAAATCTCTTCACCACTGAAAAGAAAGGAAGGTATGAGGATGGAATCTGGAGTTACATGTAACTACCTCTGAACCAGTTGGACAATGCTCTGAGTGTTCATGAAGAAAACTTCCCGTTCAGATTTCCGGTTCAATGTAGCTGCATGGCTATCTAGGATGTTGGCAATCTAAGGCATAAGAAAAGGAAGAAAATGAAGCCTCCCAGCAAAGAGACCCAAAGCATTAGCGTCTACAGCGTCACCGCTAGGAATCTTCTTAGTTATAACATCACAATTCCTATCTTTCACATGTTGGCAGCAGCTGGAAGTTACTGAGCATAGTTTATTTAGGGTCTTAGGCTAAATAAGCAAATAACTTTTACTTCTTTTTACTCTTTCCCAGATGGATTAATGACTACATCACAAAAACTGTCATCTTGCCAGAGGCTCTGACAGGCAAGGTATGTTTAAGGTCAAGATCCAAACTTTACTCCCCACTTGCTTAACTATACTTCCTACATGAAAATCTGCTTTCTAGGCAAGGTGTAATGATACTGCTGAGACAGTAGTAAGGAAGTCTCTGATGATAAAGCTACCAATATCCCTCTACTATAAATTCATGAAAATACCTCTAATTAGGGAATAGCCCCAAGAATAAAGCTATATGGAGTACATGGCCAAAGCATACTTTTCTCATAATCATAGATACTTTAAATTTCACATACAGCACTTTCACTATTGGGCTTATATCCTGAGGCAGTTTTGTGAAAAGTACAGTGCTTAAAATTGTAAAGAGTGTCAACATCGGAGGATCCAAATAGGAAGGATTTCTACAACATGAACTCCAGCACTGGTAACCCGTGGAAAATAATGATACCATCATCATATAAATACCTGTTGGCTTGGAAACTGACAGAGGACTGATGTGATGTTGCTAGCATACTGAGCCATTTCCTTCTTGATAGACTTCTCCACATTGGGAGGGATACGGCCAGAGACACTGGTCATGATATCTTGCAATTCTAGGAGAGGAAGAGAGGGATCTCTGAGGGTCTTCATCAACCGCTCTACCCAGTCTTTTACCTAAGAAGAAAGAAATGATAAAATAGGACCCAAAGTTAACACAATCCCCAAAATAAAATGATATACACTCATCCCTCGGTATACACAGGGGCCTGGGTCCAGGACCCCTGCATATACCAAAATTTGTGCATACTCAAGCCCCACAACCAGCCCTATGAAACCTGTGCATATGAAAAGTCGGCCCTCCATATATGCAGGTTTCATATCCCACAACTTCTGTATTTTCAATTTGAGTTTGGTTGAAAAAAATACACACATAAATAGACCCATGCAGTTCAAACCTGTGTTGTTCATGGGTCAACCGTATCAGGATTCACTATAATACAGCATTTACTTTAACATTGCAATGTATAAAAAAAGGAAAAAAGTAAAATTGCCATGTAAGTATCTAACATTGTCCCTATTCTCTGGTTTCAAAAGGAATAAACCAGGCTGGGTGCAGTGGTTCACGCCTGTAATCCTAGCACTTTGGGAGGCTGTGGTGGGAGGATTACTTGTGCTCAGGAGTTTGAGACCAGCCTGAGCCAAGAGCGAGACCCCATCTCTACTAAAAACAGAAAGAAACTGGCCAAACAACTAAAAATAGAAAAAATTAGCTGGGCATGGTGGCGCGTGCCTGTAGTCCCTGCTACCCGGGAGGCTGAGGCAGGAGGATCGCTCGAGCCCAGGAGTTTCAGGTTGCTGTGAGCTAGGCTGACGCCACAGCATTCTAGCCCAGACAAGGGAGTGAGACTGTCTCAAAAAAAAAAAAAAAAGGAATAATTCTAATTAAATGTGAAGTCCATGACAAAGATAAGAAGCAAGGATTTAAAGATTTCAAATCCCACAACTAAAGGTGATGCAGTTCCAGGCCAAACAGCTTTCTTTCCCTCCCTCTATAAAATCATTATGAGACTTTAAACTATTTTGGAGAATAGGTGCCCCATTTGTATATCCCTTCCCCAAGATAAGTCACTCATACCCTGCTGCTAAAGAAAGGATCTGGAAGGCAGTATCCATTCATTATGTTGACCAGATTATCCAGGACGTAGTGGAACACTCGATGGAGCTTCTCGCCTCTAAGTGCCGTGCTCTGGATCCGTGGCAGACTACCCGTGTGAAGCTCAGCCTGTCAACCCCAACAAGAGATGAAGTCATCCACTACCTTCTATTCAGGGTACAAACTCACCACTGTAACTTAAGAGTCATCATCCAAACTTAAGACATCCTTTCACTATACCCAGCTACCAGAAGGGAAGTCAATGGAGGAAACATCATGAGGAAATTATAGAATCTTAGTACTGTAGTAACTCTTGCAAGCTCTAGCTTCACAATACTATAGGCACAAATACAAAGCATAAGACAAGGGGAGAAAGCAGCCTAAGAAAAAAACAGCAAACCAAGCACTGAAATCACTTGCCCTTCCAAACTACCATGTTCTTAAGCTCTTGGAGAGCAATATTCAGAGTACCTTCCCACTCACCTGCTGAACCTTGCTGGGGTTGTCCAGCTGCATTTTGGCTATTACACAGCCAGGGTCAAGAGCTGCTCCAGGCCGCTTGATGTAATGGATACAGCCAGACTCTGCAGCTGTTAAAGTCATTACCATCTTCATCACCTTTAGTGAAAAATATAATAAATTAAGAATCGGACCTCTCTTTATACAGGTAAATGTTTAAAAGAGGTTGGTTTTTCCCTTAGCATCTAACCTGGACTATACCTAAGCTGACACAGAAAAAAATAGGAATTTATCAAACTCTCCTAGGGACTACCAAGGGAAGCAATTAGAAAATCTCTTGGGACCTTGCTTTAGGAAATAACAGTTACTGACATTTCCTATTTTTAACTTTTAAATCCATTTTGCCATAGTTTATAATTTTACTTGGTTTGTACTTAGAAGTGAGGATTTAGCCTCCTCATACCAGTGGATCCAGGCTCTCATTCTCAGTCTGACTACCTAAGATACCCAGGCAAAAACCTAAGGGTTATTCTTCACTCCTCTTTCTCCCGTATCTACCAATTACCAACCCCAAACAGGTTCGAATTCTCTCAAAAATCTTCATCTTTTGCCATCTCTTTGGTTTAGGCCCTCATCATTTCTGGCCTAGAGTACTTTAAAAACCTCCTAAGAGATTTCCCTACTTACTAGACACTTCCAGCAAGGTCACTAGAAGCAATCATTCTAGAGCTCAGATCTCATCATACCACTTTTCCACTTAAAATCCTTCAGTGATTCCCCACTGCCTTCAGGATGGTCTAAACTTATATTAGTACAGCTTATAAGATCCTTCATGACCTCACATTCAAGATCTCACATTACTTCTTTAGCATCTTTGCTTGTCACTCCCCGTAAACTTGAGTCTATTTTTAAGCAACACCAATATATACTTGCAGTTCCCTAAATACAACACGCTCTCTGGTTTCTGAGATTTTATACATGCTATTCCTTCAAATTTAAACACTCTTACCTGTCCTTTTTCACCTGCTCTATTACTGTCTATCAAAACTAAGATCAAATGTCCTTGCTTTCAGAATATCTTCCCTTACTACACACTCTACCTTGATTTGGGTTAGGCAGCCCTCTGCACTCTGTGGTTGGCTTTCTTAGAATTCATCATATTCCACTACTTGTCTGTTTTGGAGCCTGACTCCACCTATCATATGTTCTCTATAGAGCCAGCAGTTAGCATATCTAACATTAAAGTATCTATTTTGAGAGCTAGAGATTCTTCATCTGTCAAAGAAAAACTGCAAGCTTTGTATTTGTTTTTAAAATCTTAAGGTTCACAATTCCAATTAAACCAACTGATGTTCTTTTTTTTCTATTTCTATTTCCTTTCTGTTATTTTTCAGCCTAGTCCATCCCAGTCGATCTTTTTTCTACCTCCCCTCCCATGATCCTACAGCCCATTCACCACACTGACCTCAATCTCAGCATAGCACTGGCCAGCAAACACATGACCTCCATCCTCCACAATGTACTGGATTAACTTCCCAGCAGAAGGTGAGCGCATCACCGATGGGTCATTTTCCTTCTCAAACACACAGGTTTTATTACCAATCGTGATGCGATATCTAAGAGACAAGTGGGAGTATATAAACCAATAAAGCACCACAGGATGTAAAGGGGAATGAATGGTAGAAATGTCAATCTTAAAAGAAAAAACACTGAAACCTTTATTCTAAACATACACACAGAGAGGACATTCATTGCATCTTTGTTTATAATGTCAAATAAAAATTTCCTTTTAATAAGGGTCACATTAAATAAATTAGAGTACAGTCACATAATGGAATACTACATGGCTATTAAAAAGAATAGGTACTTCTATTTCAAAAAACACACAAAGATGATGATGATGTAGTAGTCAACATTTCTTGAACCCTAACTGTGTTGCAGGCAATGTTATAAGCAATTTAAATGTGTTAATTCATTTAATTCTCACAATACTATAACTGGTGTTGAACAGTCTACAATATATGTTAAAAGACAATATAAAGTGCAATGTTTAAAGGATATTTTTATTTGCAAATATATTTAAAGGAAAAACAGTATGTACATATATATAACTTCTATATGCATACAAAAATACAAGAAACTATTAACAGCTAACCTTATAAAGAGGGTAATTTATTTTTCATTGTCCACTCATACTGGAATGTAGGTAGACATGTTTTTAACTATAAACATTTTAGCACTCTTGAAGTTTATGTTAAGTGCATGTACTATTTTTTTTTTTTTAACTAAAAATGAGTACCAAAAAAGGCCTGGAAAAATTCCAAGAGCTAGTGACTAAGAAGAGAAAAGGTTAAGACAATGACCAGCAAATGGACCTCAGCCACTTACCTATCTACTTCCTCCTTCATGTACGTAGTGTAACTGCTGCCATCATAGGACAAAAGCAGTCCTCCGTCACTCAGCCGATGTACATCTACTTCCACACATGAGCCATTCATGATCACCACATAGGAGTTGGGGGACTGTCGAGTAACCTGTAAGGGAATAAGAACGAGAAGAGGCAAGTCAGTATATCCCTTCCAGGTAGAGCCCGGGCCAAAATCCATGCTGCAAAAACAGAGGTAAGAAAGATCCGTCAGAAGGAAGCTAATTCATGGTGCTGGTGCTATCTGCATCACAGTTAGGAATGGCTCGGTTGTGACATAAGCAAATAGGGTTACCTTAGTTGTTTCTCTCTGCTCTAGTTGTTCCCTGTCTCTCCTTTATCTCTTGACAGTATACGTGAAGTTGAGGAACTAAAAAGATTTTCACAGAATCATGAAATACTGCTTCAGGCTACTGATATAAATAATGACTATAATTTCACTAACACCTCCAACCCTGCACTAAATCAGACATTTCCCCCTGCCTCTTGACATAAAGAAAGAGAGCTAACAAAGAGAGATGAAAAGTAAGGTGCAGGCTTCAGTGGAGTTCAGCATACCTTAAGCACGTATTTCACTCCCTCATAGATAAGTTCAACATCTACTGTATTCAGAAGCGTATGAGCAGGAAGGACTTGACCCCTGAAAGAACAACAATGTAAAAGACACTTACTTCTAGAAAGTTCTAATAGCTTATAAAGCAATCTAAAAGATTATTGATTGTATTATTTTCTGGAATATCAAAAGACTAGAAACAACCTATACAACTATCCATCTATAAGGGACTGACCACATAAACTATAAAAGAACCAATATCATGGAATTTTTTACTTTTAATTACAGTAAAATACACATAAAACTTGTCATCTTAACCATTATTAAATGTATGGTTCTACAGTGGTAAGTATATTAACACTATTGTGGAACCGACCAATCTCTAGAACTTTTTCATCTGGCAAAACTGAAACTCTATACCCTTTAAACAACAACTCCCATTTCCACCTCCCCCTAATCCCTGGCGATCATCATTCCACCTTCTGTTTCTATAAATCTGACTACTCTGATACCTCATATAAGTGAAATCATGTAGTATTTGTTGTTTTGTGACTAGCTTATTTCACTAAGCCTAATGTCCTTAAGATTCATCCATGTCTTAGCCTGTGTCAGAATTTCCTTCCTTTTTAAGGCTGAATAATATCCCATTGTACGTATATACCATATTTTGTTTATCCATTCATCCATCAATGAACGTTTGAGTTGTTTTCACCTTTTATCTACTATGAATAATGTAGCCATGAACAAGGGTGTGCAAGTATCTCCTTGAGACCCTGTTTTCAATTTGTTCAGAATACTCAGAAGTGGTACTGCCAAATCATATTTTTAATTTTTTGAGGAATTACAATACTGTTTTTCCATAGTGGCTGCACCATTTTACATTTCCACCAATTATAATGCACAAGCATTCCAATTTCTCTACATCCTTGCCAACACTTGTTATTTTCTGGTTTTTGACAGCGGGCATCCTAATGAGTGTGAGGTGATATCTCACTGTGGTTTTGATATGCATTTCCCTAACGATTAGTGCTGTTGAGCATCTTTTCATATATACAACAAAATACAGTCATTAAAAAGATGAAGCCTTTTATCGACTAATATGAAACACTCTCTAAAATATACTGTTGAGTGAAAGAAGCAAGGTAAAGAACACCTCGGAGTATGCTACCATTTATGTTTTAAAAAACCAGGAGGTGGAAAGAAACAAATATTACATGTATATGTTTATATAAGTTTAGGATATCTCTGGAAGGTTAGAGAAGAAACTGGTAACATGGATTGACTACAGGGAAGAGAATGGTGTGGTTGAAGAACAAAGGAAGAAAGAGACTTTTCACAACATATTCTTTTTGTGTCTTTTGAATTTTGAACCATGTGAATGTAT